TCATTGTAATTTAATGTATTTTTAGAAAATAAACCAAGCTTAGTGTTTAGAATATAATAAACATATTCAATTCAACAATTCATAGCTTTTAAAGTATATCAACACCTTATTTTCAAATACTGCAAGATAATGTATATAGTTTTACATTTAGTAAAAGTTAAGAGGATTATACCTTATTTATTTTAAATGCTTCACAATAGTGTTCTTGATTTTTTGAATCTCAGATTTATCTGAAACACTGAGCATTTTCTATCATTTTCTGGTCAGCAGACATAAGCTTTTATTTTGTGGTTCTGTCTATCCCCTTGGAAAGTGACCAAAACTGACAGAATTCCCTGTGTGTTTTGTCCAGTTTAATATAGGCCAGTGGCCTGCGTTCCAGCAGCTAATGCTTTCTCCAGCAGCTTCTAACCTGAATGTTCAATTAAAAGGGAAATTCATATTGAGAAAGCCCCCCTAGAATTGATTTGATTCTATAATGCTGCAGCTACTCTACAAACCTTGTAGAAGTAGGATTTGTCTGGAATACTTACTATATATTTCTCATCTACTAGAATCGTACCATTCCTGAAACCTAAATGTTTAGTTTTTTTTTTTATTTCTTTTGCAATCTTCGTTGTGTGCTGCTTGCGCAGCTGTTTCCTTTATTCACTTTTATTGCTCTCTGTAGGGAAGTGACCGCGCAGTTTGGACAGTTGTTCCTTAATTACTAAGTAATGGGAAAAGGGAGTGAACCAAAGACCTGGTGGTTTCTAAGCAACTTAAATTAACCCACAGACAAGGAGGGCAACTCCTAATCCAGAAGAATGACAGATTGGTGTTCTTTATTGTAACAGCTTTAGCTGGACACTGTCATGCTCCCTTTTGCTCAATGGGCTAAGTTTCTCAAGATTGGCAGGTCCGTTTGAGCAAGGTTTGTTAGCAAATAAAAAAGATTCTTTACAAGGCATAACGTAATGGTGGTATCTGTAGGACATCCATTTTTCTGAATGTATAATTTTTGTGCTGGGTTTCTATTAATCACATTACTTAGGCCCATTCAACACATTTCCTCATTTAGATTAAGAATCTCTTAATGTGCTTAATTACGTAGAAGCGTGTTTTTCACAACCGGACCATGCTATATGATGCAGCTTCAAAGGGGCATACCATTTAATGATTGTCTATAATCTGCTTTTTTATTATGAAAAGCCTATGATGTTTTAGCTCTGTGGCTGATAAAAACGCATTCAAGTCAATGTAAATCCACTGATTGTGAACAGGATTTGCAAAGAGCCTTGCCTCTCAATTATTAAGACAAATGCCGCTTCCTGCATCCCAGTATATTGTTCTCATCCCACACACTGTTCTCACTCAGTCGTTTTGTCTAGAAATGCTACAGCACTTGTCTTCTGCAACATCTTATTTAAAGATGCCACAGAGGACAGTGTTTACTGCCTCATTCCGTTGACATAAGACATCTCATTTTCCATGGGGTCTTGACAATGTAATGAAACACAGCAAGGCACAGAAGACAAATAACAAGGAGCTCTCCGAGGGATGAAGTAACTAAACCAGAGATCAAGTACAAAACCCTCATGAAATCAAATCAAACAAGGTATGAATAGCAGGCAATGGAGTTGCTGAAAATAACATTGTTATTTAGTCTTTTTTATTGTTAAAAAGATTATTCAGTACAGTACTTCTTTTCTCCCTTTGTTTCCCCATCTTGAATACAAAAAATATATAGTTTCAGCTAAAGCGTGCATAAACTAAAGTGGCACAGTGTGTGGTTGAAACTATAAGTAGATTAATCTTGATATTGTTTAGATGAATAGTTTTTCTTGTGGGTACTGCGACATGGTTGCTCTAACCCTTTTACCCTTTAGAAACCCGGAACAAAAAGACACCATTTTTCTTCAGGGAAAAAATACAGCTGCTACCACAATAGCACAGAGATGTCAAGGTATCTTTGTATCATTGTAAAGCTGTCAGTTGTTTTAATTCTGAATTGATTAGGAGCTTGTAATTTGGTTGAAGCTTGATGATGTCACTTGTAATGTGATGTTGTTTCTTTCTTCAATGTTTAACTGGAATTTTTTTTCTTTGAGATTATAAGACATGTCTGTGACTTGAAAGTAAAACCATTTATTTTATTTTTTCAAAAAACATTTGTTAATTTTTTCAGCTTTCTGCCTCTGGAAATATTAGTGTATGTTTAGAAGTGTTCTTCTTTTCTTTTACTTAAGTGAAAGCTACCCTGAAAGTTGTAAGCATTTGTACTGTTTTGTAAACTTAGATCTAGACACGTAATGTTTTAATATACTGTAGTAGTTGTATTTTCCAACATAGCATTCCTTGTAAAAGATAACATCCAGATATCACACTGCAGCGATACAAGAAAAAAAATCAATATCATCTGTAGCTGGTGGAGTGCTATATTTTGAATGGTGATTCAGTTGTATTTAGAGTGGAAACCATGCTTGTGTGTAACAGCAGCATCGTAAAATTTCATAAACGTCTGAGACAAGCACCACCTGAGGAGGGTGTGCTACATGAAAGGTGGCACGGTGCTCTGAGTTTATAAATAATGTCTGTATAAAGATCTGGAAAATTAATGGTTATCTGCTCATCTTTTTCCAGAATGCCTGTTGCACATGTCATGAATTATACCCTTTTCTTTGCATTTTGGATTATATATTTTTCTGTACTGTAGCTAGTGCCCAGTCTGTGTTTGTATTTTCACAGACCAAGTACCAAGAATTTAAAGACTTGCCCACAGTGGCTGGCATAGTCTTTGACTTGCTTGTTAAAACTGGAGTTTTGCTTCTGAAGCTGGGATTGGACTGGACTGTGCCATACAGGTTTATGAAGAAAAGACTCCTTCTTTCTTCTAAATGTAGCATCCCTTGGACCTTCCTGGTAACAGCATCCTGTTAGTATTTTAGGATATTTTAATATTCTGTTAGAATAGTGTAATATTCTGTAAGGGAGCACGTAAATAGCACAGTACAGTACATTATTTTATTTTGTAGATCATGTTAAAGTGTTGTTTACAGTGAGTGTTATTTTTTTCCTGTCTAAAATACCAATAAAAACCTATTTGTATCTCATTTAACTGACATTTTTTTCAGTCCTTAGACTATGAATAATCACAGAAAATAACCTATATTTCCATATGTGTAGAATCTTTTTTTCTGAAATACTGTTTTGGCAAGAGAGGATACTATTTTTTTCTAGATAACAGTAAAAGTGAGTGATATTACTGTTCCTGGTTATATTCTCTAGGCTTCATTATTTTTATGAAAATCGAATTTGTTTTTGAGTGCCATTAAATGGATACATGTTCACTCTGTTTGACACTGATCACTCTATGAGCTTCTCACAATATTCATGTTTAAGGATTTCTGCCTTCATGGTTTTCACAACCATGAATGTGAACTAAGTAACAGACGTAATCATGCTCTTTGGTGGGAATTTGCTTATTTTATGTTTCATTCTACTTCACTTTTGCATTTAGAATAAATGTAAGCAGTTTCACTTGGGTTAAATGGGTAATATATTTTAGTTTTTTTTTTATTTTCCTTTGCAGTTTTTACTGACATTTAACTTCTTTCATGCATAAACTTGTTCAGTCTGAGCATTCATGTTTTGTTTAAAAAATATCCACCCATTCATTTTCTAAACAATTTTATTCAGTACTAGGTTGAGGGTGGAGCCGAGCCTAGCCTGGCAAGCAACAGTCTCAAGGTTGATACACCCAGGATGGGATGCCAGTCTTCCAAAAGACATACACAGACAGTGACATGCACTCACTCACACCAGGGCCACATTTACAGAAACAGTCACCCTACCAGTTTGTCGTCTTTGAACTGTGGGAGGAAACCGGAGCACCTGGAGGAAACCCACACGAACATGGGGAGAACATGCCAACTCCATGCAGATGCATCTCAAGAATTGAACTTAGGTGTTCCAGCACTGCATGGCAGTAATGTTAATCACTGTGCCACCATACCCCCCTTATTAAAAATATACACATTAAAAATGTATATACATCATTTATAACTAAACAAAATTGAAGATCACTAGAATGGGACAAAGACTTTTGAAAGACACTCTACAGTTATAGTAGTTACTCCTGTGCTCCTCTTGCGATACTAATGTGAAAATACTATTTTGGACATATACTTTCTGAAGTGTGAAATGTTTAAACTCTCTATTAATACATCAAAACCATTTCCATGCAGCACATAAGTATGTGTTTAATATCAAAGCTGTCCTATGATTGATATGCACTTTTATTAGCCTTCTTTTGTTTTTATCTGTGATGGTGAAGCAGCCCAGATGTCCTAACATATCAGTATTTTACACCAAAAAAAGGAACTAGAATTGAATCTTTTTCACTGAGGGTCTGAGGAATAGCCTTTTGAAAATAAGCATGCATACAACAAACTGCAGTGTTCTAATGTGCACTACTGTACACCCATCCACCCAACAAAAGAGAAAAAAGAGTAAGGAGACCCCTTCTTAAGACCATGAAAGTGTCCTTGGCTTCTATAAATGATGTACAGTATATAGCACCATATATAGCCATAGCCTTCTGCAGTAAAAAATGTTGCCTAGAAAGCATTATATTGATATTGTCTTAAATATGAGTTAATCTTAAAATGCTTTTCATTCTAAACCAGACTTGGTACTGTAAAATAAAACTTAGATAGTTCAACTTTTCTTTACATAATGTAAGAATTGTATTATAAGAAATACATTTTCATAGTATTTAGAAAATTCTTTCCTGACATCATAAGAGTTTAAAATCTCTGAGTAAACATACAGTAGAGACTGTCACAGGGAATAGTGCTGCCTTGTCCAGAAACACCCATGACACTAGTTCTTTCACTCCAAGCACGACAGACCATGCAGAAAGTTACATTATCATTTTTTATTAGAACACATTATCCATTATTTTTTTTCCATTTTTTTTTAATTTCCAAATCTGATAAGTGTTTTTTTTTGTCTTACAGAAAAAGAATACCTCTCTCTTTCTGAGTGTGAGTTTGCTTGCCACCTGGGGTGCCACCTTACTAGCGGCCCGCTTCTACTGGATGGGGAACAAGCCACCCAGCTTCTCAAATTCTGACAACCCAGCAGCTGACTCAGACAGCCCTTGGACACGGACTCTGACCTTCTTTTACCTACCTGCCGCCAATGTATGGCTGTTCCTGTGCCCGGATACCCTTAGCTTTGATTGGTCCATGGATGCCCTGCCTTTGCTCAGGACCCTTGGTGACTGGAGGAACCTTCACACTGTTGCCTTTTACATTGGATTACTGCTCTTAGCTTGGTTCGGTCTCCGGAATCAAACAAAGGTTAAGGAGACCAATGGTAAAGCATACGTGATGAATGGGAAGCCTAATACAAATGGACATAGTTGTCATTCAGAAGCAGAGCACTCAAATGAGGAGTTTAGTCCCACAAAAAGCGCTGAGAATGGCATAAAAAACCACTACATCCCAAGGACATCACTGCCCAGCACAGAAAACATAGTGGTGTTCTCTTTAGGGCTGTTGTCTTTGCCCTTTCTGCCTGCCACTAATCTTTTTTTCTACGTGGGCTTTGTAATAGCAGAGCGTGTACTCTATATACCAAGCATGGGCTTTTGTCTGTTGGTAACTGTGGGAATGAGGACCCTTTATGTCAGATTAAGGAGAAAATTCCTGAGGAGTCTTTTGTTATATTGTAGTGCCATTTTGATCATTCTATATGGGATTAAGACTGTGCTGAGGAACCAGGACTGGCAGAACGAGGAGATGTTATATAAGTCAGGGATAAATGTGAACCCAGCAAAAGGTAAATCCTTCTTCACCAGTCAAGCAGCATGTTACAGGATATCGTGTGATGATGAATGATGAATTGAAGGAATTGGAGTAATGGTTGCAGAACCTCGTTATTTACAAAAAAAAAAATGCAAAAGTCAATGAAAATGTTTTTTAAATGTTTTAATATGAATCATTGTATCATGAAATTTTGTTTTCATAATATGGCTTAGGGAGGCAAATTGGTTGAAAAACTAAGTCAGTAACCAGTATCTGACTCCATTTTGCTGTGATGACTGAGCTGAATAGTGTGTTGAGTTTGGTCAGCTTTTACAGGACTAAAGCAAGCAGTAGTGCTTGATACTGTAATCACTGAAATCACAACTGTTAACTATCCAAGACCTGTGTGCATGTACGGTATATTGAAGATCTTTATGGTATGATCTTGCAGTATTGCTCTACTGTGAGTAGAGTTGGTTTTTCCATTCCTTACTTTGAGCATTTATCTTGCACAACCTCCATCCGTTTTAGAAAAGCGGGTCACATGCATATTTGATCTACCTTACAATGTTTCAAAATATAGCCTGGATAATTTGGCCTTACTGTATGTCAAAACTTATAAAGAGTTATCATCCTCTTGTGTCCAAACTAAATTTCCTTGTTTCCATCAGCTGCTTTTCCTTAGAATTTTTATGTATTTTCCATATCCCACTTCATTTCTACCTTGAATGAGTTTTATCTTGATCATGTTTACAGTAGTAGTTTATTTTATGTTTTTTTTCATGCAATTCTCAATTTCAATCTTTATATGGACAAGATTTCTAAACCGTCTTAAATTACAAAGCTTATGCCCAGTCTTGAAAGTTTTGCTGTTGAAGAAAATCCTGCCAAGGCTTATGTGTCCTACAAATTAGAAAAATTATAATTTGTAGGACTCAAAAAAAGAAGAATTCTAATTTGTTGGGGGGCTATGTTTACTTTATGTTCTCATAGAAGAACATTTGCATTGCTACTTTTCACCTCTAAAATTGCTATTATTACTTTCATAATGAACATAAACCAAGATCATTTTAGTTAATAGCATTTCCTGCAATCTACTTGAGGGCTTACTCTAACTTTAAACAGGAAGGAGTCTCTCTCAAACTGGCTACTTGTATACGGAACTAGGACTCAGTTGAAGTAATTCATGGTTTATTTGCCAGCATATTTGCTCTGAGTGAGAGTACAGTATGCTTCACTTTAAAGTTAGAGTTAGAGTACTTTTTATAACTTAATATTATACTGTATATCTGTAGTACCTTATATTTTTAATGAGGAAACCAGTAGATGTTCAGGATGACACAGTTAATCAAGGGATAGGAGTGAAGATGAACAATTCAGATTTTTTTTCCAGTCTTTCTATATGTGTTCTTTGTTACAATTAGAAACAAATTACAGAGAAACCAACATGTTTAATAATCAATGTCTTAGTTTCCATATTAATTAGTTAGCTGCCAAGACATTTAGAAAACTTCATTATCAAATGTAAACATTTGGCAGTACTCTGTGTCTTACTTACCAGAAGATCATTACTACTAATAAAATAAAAATCTATATAAAATCACAGAGATCTGTGCATTTGAGCACTTTTTAAAGGTAGTTGCCTGTTGCAAAATTCCATAGCAACTGCGATTGCATTCAACAAAAGGTCTGTCTTACACTACGGTTTGGGGTATTATCAAATGTCTTGTACAGTACATCACATCCTAGGCTTTCAGTTACATCCACCTGGAAAGTGGAATACATCCTGCTCAAATGGTTAGTGCAGTCGAATAACATAAGAAATTAGTGATAGTTACAAAGATTCGCTGTCCGTCGATAATTCTGCAAACAGGGAGGGTTCTGTGAAATTGCAGTGTAAAATGGCAGGTCAGAAGCATATATACTATACCAACTAGTTTTAACTAAGAGGCAGTCTCACTTTAAAATTTGACATACTTAAGTATCAGCTGTAATTCCTCTAGAGTTGCTTTGAATTTACAATTTAAAGTAGAATTAACTGTTTATGGTCACATGCCTCCAGTTCACTTACTGATTAGATTAATACATTTAAAAAATAACTTAGAGGTACTATAAATGTTGGAAATAGAGATGTCACCCTTCTATGATATTGCTGCAGTATGTTGCTAAATACAGATCATTGTATGAGTTTGCATTCAGTGTGCTTGAACAAAAAATGTGCTGCCCTGTCCAATTTATATTCACTGTAATATCGTCATTTACATATTAACAACATAGTTTTAGCTCTCAGTCTGTTCTTGTACAGTTGTGTTATTTTATGAAGACTTCTGAAATCCATCAATACATAGGTAATTTGCATTAGAGTTTACTTAGCAATCGTGCTTGGTTCATTTAGGCAACTTGCCACGTGTTCACAAAGAAGTGAACTAGCATTCGCTTGAATGGTGGTCACATCTCAGTTGGAGCAGTTTTTTGTTTCCACCAGGGAATGTGAAAGCAGTAGTGTTGAATTTTACAAACCAACAGAAGCAGAACAGATGGATGCCGGTAATGTGTGACTGGGCTTAATATTTTACCATACATTTTTAACTAAAACAGAAATATAAACATTGTTTATTCCCAATTCCACAGCTAATTCATAGAGTTGACTTTCTAGTGTTAATGCTATCAGAGAGTTGGCGATGGAAAATGAAACCTTAAAGTTCAATATTTAATTTAATCATCTGCTTATGCCAGCAGTTATATCTCCCTGCAACTCGGAACTGGCAACCCCCTGAAGCTAAGCATGTCTGAACCAGGTGTGCAAGTACCTGAATGGGAGACCTCCTGGGAAAGTTAAGGTTGCTCCTTGAAGAGGTGTTAGTGGGACCATTAGGGGGACCATTTTTTAAAAAAATCAGTTTTCCTTTCAGAAAAGCAACAGTAAAGACAAATACTATCTGTTTACCCTGGCAGACCAGCTGAGCTATTACAAGTTTCTTTGGTTGCCTGTCATGTTTTGTAGCATGAGCAGACTTAATGCGGGCTGATTGCTCTATTGTTAAAGGATCCTTAAGTTTTTTTTAATTTTTCGACATTTGACTTGAGAATCAATAATAATGTAATGTAGTAGTAGTAATGTTAAATTAGTAGATTTTCACTGATAGAAGAACTTAAGAAATATAGCATTGTTGCTTTATGAAAAAAAGCATAACATACTGAGCATCAAAAGAAGGTTATTACTTATAATTGAGACTTTTCTTAGCAATACTTATATAAAAGGTGTACTGACATTCTGTTAAATAGGTAAGTAAATTCATTATGCTGATTATCATTTGTGAAAACAGTTTATTAGCGCATAGTTATTGTGAAAGGCATAATTATGTAATGTAGCCACTGCTGGAAGCTAAACAAGCTGTTGATCTGTGGCACACAGGTTGCAGGTGCTATCTTGTTAGATTTTGTCCCATTTTGCTCTTAGAATCTGAGCAAATTCACAGTTGTATGAGCCCTAGATGTTATGTGTTAGCCCAGCTTATTCCAGAAATGTTCAGGGGGGCTCGAGTCTAGCTGAAGTCTAGTAGGGCATCCACAGCATAACTGTCAAATTGTCATCTTGCAAGAAAGCTTTTAATGACGTACTCCACCCTCGCCCAGAGAGGCAAAGGGGTCTGCAAACACAAACCTCATGATGGTCACAAGGAGAAAAGTCCAGGAAGCTGTATTGTATGTTATTATTTGTAGGTCCTTTTCAAGTTCTTACCGCAATAGCTTAAAAAAACACTTACACTAGCTCTGTGCACAACCTTATTACACCCATGTGAGTGTGAAATTCTCAGCTCTTTACCAACTATGTAATAATTGGCACACACTGTGGCTATTTTCAGAGATTAATGCCCATTAGAAGCCTCTAGTGACAGGTCGACTGTAACTGTCACACCATTGTTACAGCATGAGGACGTGTCTTAGAATGGTTTCTCTTGTTCTCCTGTTCAAAGTAGCTCACCGGAATGACAAGAGGTCCCAGGACTGCCATGTAGTCAAGCTGCGATTAATAACTACAACTGGAGTTCTGTGACTACTATACACTCCTGCCCAGACCATCACACTTGGACATCTCGATTAAATGTTCTTTTGTACACATGAAAAAGCAGATTGTTCTGCACATCTGACATCCATGTGTGTGCTCTGCACATAACCCTGATTCGTCTCTGTAGATGACTCCTGGCAAATCTCGGTGTGGTGACTTAGTCCAGCTTTCAACATACCAATTGCACAAAAGCGTTATTTTCACATTCAAATACTCAAAATAATGCCAAAAATAGATTATAATCTAAAATCTATTTACTTTATTTTCTTTAAAATATACGTTTATTAATAGAGTGACGTTTCTTTTGATACTTAGTGTGGATGTGGAGTAACTTCAATAAATAAATGCTGCCAAGCAGGATTTAAAACATAATGGAAAATTAATGAAATAATGCAACTCCTTTCCAAAAACATGACGAGGTAAATTTGTTGACCTGTTTCTTGGAAGATGAGGATAATCAATCAGATTCACCTAAATACTTGTGGTAATGTTATTTGTAACTGTGCAGCTATGCTGGTATAAATCATTTGTAGTGCTCTTGTGTTTGCATAAACACAAGCTAATGGTTCAACCCTTGGATTCAAGAAAGGTCATGTTGTTAACAGAGAATACCACTGATATAGATTGTCTCAGAACTATTCACATGAAACCAAAATGTCCACCATAAGATTTATTGTTGAAACAAGAGGTATTTGGTATTTCTGTTTTTTCAATTAACTTTATTTGCCCGGCACAGTACTTCTTATTGATTAACATGTTTTCATATATTCACATAAAATGTCTTTAAAAGCTTCCATAAAACATTTTACATTCATTTGATCATTTAAGGGCTGGTGTATTGAAATCACGCCTTTCTATAATAAAACAATTAACTTCAATTGAAGGGGAAACGTTTGTGCTGCTTTCTAAGTCACAGTGAGCCATTTACTTGAAGACAAAAGAGTTGTCCAAAATTAAATTGTCGGTTTAGTCCATTTTACATAATGCTTAAACTTTAAAATGTTCCCTAGTTCTCTGACATTTTATTAATACCTGTACAATGCTGCTCTTATCTCCTCTAAATCACATTTAGTGGTCTGTAGAGCTAGAGAGAAGAACATTGAGTTGCATCACATCTTACAGCTTGTTTTTCTGTTGGAAAAACACTTGTCTTTTGTTAACAAAGAGCACCATATTAATTGACAGGATTTACGTCAGCAAAGTTACGAAACCATCTTCATTGTCATGAAACAAGCCATATAAATGCATTAGCCATTCGCTAACTCTGTGTTCTCAAAATATCCTCTGGGGAACACTTCTATCTTCTAATAAATCTTTTAAAGACCCTTGTGCAGTAATGTTTATATTTTATACATGTATGGAATTGGATAATTAGTGGTTTTGAGTTAAAAAATAATTATAAGACTTTTATACTGAATTTTGTATCTCTGCACAGCAGATACATTAAGTCTTTCTATAATATAGTATACGTACATAAATCATTTTAGTTCCCTGACATTTAGAAATGGATGATACTTATTGCAGATTAAAGCACATATGATACACTACCCATTCCCCCACCTGAAAATTAATGGGTCATAGCTGCCAGTTGTTTGGACTTAAATAGTTGATGAAAGAATGAGGTCAAAGGTCTATATATATATAAAACCACAATCTGTTATTAAAAGCATATACCAGTTTAAGATGTTCCACCAGCTGGGATTGACATCTGTTTAAGATTTATTAATTGCTCCTTTTAATCTTAAATGAAATGAGAAATTAATAAATACAATCAGTAAAGCCACAGAGATATATTTGTATATGTATTTATATAGATTTGTATATAATTATGATTTAGATACTTGTCATAAAACAAACAGGGAAAGATTGCATCGTCTTTTTGTTCTACCAAGTGTCCATATAAAATGAAACTATGTTCCAAATGCATTGATATCCATATGTCGCCAGCTTTCAAAAATGTTGTCCGCCTGGATTTATAGTATTTGTCAACACAGCAGCGCTCATGTACATTAGAGTAAGTGACAAAACTAGGCTTTTAGGCATTCAGCATTAGGCAGAGAACTGAAGTGGATTTAGAGCCTATTTGCTGTAAACAGGGCTCAACTGAAATAGCTGTTTGTTGCTTTCTTTAGAACTCCAGTAATGTTACTGTGCTTCGAATCTGCCATCTATTAGAATTTTTTTATTTGAAATGTCCTTTCGTCTGCATTGAGATCCCAGAATCCAGGCTGAATAATGTTTTTTGTCTTCCTGTCAGCATGGGGTAACCTTGGGAATGTCCTCAAGAACCAGGGCAAGATGGCAGAGGCTGAAAAGGCCTATAGAAACGCCTTGTACTACCGCAGAAACATGGCTGATATGCTGTATAATCTGTAAGTATGCATGACTCACCTCTGTTTTTTTCCTACATGCTGTACTGAATGCCACAATTGATCCATAGATGCTTTGAAACAATGCAATTGTTTTGTTGTCTCCCCCCCACAGGCCTTTTTTATGTCACAGTGTTTTCATTAATCATGTTCTCTAAACTCTGAGGAGGACAGCGGCTTTTATAAAATTGGGGCTCCTCTTATGCTTACATTAACCCCAAGTGTCATGGATGCTATCCTGCATACATAAATGAAGTGTTTATGCCTGAAAAGTACATTAGATTAAGTTGTTTCTCTTTCTAAAGGTAAAAAAGAGTATACTAATGCTGTTTAACAACTTATTTTTTAAAAAGTCTGAAAGTTATTTAAAATATCTATTAAGGAGATATACATGTATATTCCAGTGCAGAAAATCAAAATTAACTCATAAGTATAAATAATTTTTTTAATTATTTTTGCTATGCGTATTTGAGCTGTTTCTTCCCTTAATTTATGATTTTGTGCTAACTTTATTTAAAGGCAAATAATATATCAGATTAATCTGACACCTATTTGGTATGCATTATGCGTCATGGAGTGTCATTTTTAACACTGTGAGTCGTTAGACTTTAATTTTCAGGGCTCCTGTTTTAGTTTTTAAAGTTCATGACCTGCTTTATATTGTATAAACTTTAATTTTTGTTCTCCATTTAAAAAACAAATCTGTAAAGGTAAATAGTGACAAAACTGCTTTGTTAGCATAGAAGATTCCAGGGAGTTTCAATTAACTAAAGATGTTTTACATATAAATTAAGTTGTCACTTTCAATGGTGTCAATATACTTGATGGTAATTGGCACCATGGCTGGTGGAAATGAAATCATTCTGTGAGAAAGGCAACAAAATCCTTCATTGAAAGGTTTAGTAGTAGAACATATATAATATCAGACTTTGTAGCTAATTTTGAGATTTTGTTGAATAAAGTGAAATGAGAAATGGAAAAAAAAATGTTTTATTCTCAAGTTCTATGTGTAAATAAAACAAAGCATTTTGATTTTTTCCTGAAGAGATACTGGAAAAAATAAGAAAAGAAAAAGTACATCATACAGAAACTGTCTGCTTGGTACAATATATTAATGGTAAAAGACCTGAGCTTGTTGTTGTATTAAGTCATGATACCAGAAACAACCAAACTGTTATTTTAATTCAAAAGTATGGTGTTTTTTATGTTTCCAGTGTTCAACAATGTCACATACATAATTCTGTTTGTAAGGACAGTATTTTAAATTGTATTCTAAAGCTTGTTTTATTCTGAGGCTGAATGCATGTCTCCCAGAAATGCAGGAAACAAGCAGTTGTATGTCAGCTGGGCTGAACAGAGAATATTAGTGTACTGGTTCCAGCACCTGACAGCAGATTTGCAAACATGATATGCTTATGGGATCATAGGATCAGGCACATTCCATTGTATATTCTATTGAATAAAAACTGTGTATTTTATTCATTTTTGTCATGGATTTCTAGTAGTCAGCTGAAGATCCCATATTTTAACTGAATACTTATATTCAAGACAACATGAGACCAACAGTGCTCCATTCTGCTAACCTTGAAAGGTGTTCTATTATTATTGTTTTATTCTTTTTAATTTTTTTTATCTTTATTCTTGACTGTTTTTTTATTATTATTTTGAACGTCTGCACAAGAGAAAGATTTGACTCAGGTCCTGACTTTCATTGTTGCCTTTGAGTTTGCACTTAACATATACTGTACCAATGTGTCTTTCAGAGGTTTGCTGCTACAAGAAAACAACAAGTTCTCTGAAGCACTATACTACTATAAGATGGCAATTAGTAGCAGGCCTACATTAGCATGTAAGTAAGCCTTCTTTTATATTGATAGACTCATGCATGTATGACTATACATGTATACTGTATTTATCCAAATTAAAGTTAAGTTAAAAAGGAAATGGAAAGGAGCCTGGGCACATTACTGAATTAATGATTAGCTCAATTTAGGATTTGTTTTAAAGCCCCATTAAAACTAGCAGATTAGTTCCCTACTTAATTTCATTTATTATAAATCCTAGTCTCCTTTTAAGTCATTCTCACTTCCTGACTTTAATTGGTTCCTCTTCACCTTCAGCACTGCTGAAGTTATTTTATGCTATTTTAGCCCATAATCAGCATCACTCAGCTGTCAATGAAATTAAATTGTATTATACCATCAGCTGTGAAGAGGACATTCATGTACAAGTACCTGTGTCGCTCATGTATTTAAGTGTTCTCCATTGTTTTATCGGTCAATTCACAGTAGTTACCCACAAAGTACACTCTGCTTTTTGTGACCGATATTTCTACACATGCAAAATATCTTAACAAAGAAATGGCACCGGCTTCCTCACAGACCAGATTCTCATTGACTGCTTGAGTTGCAGTTAGAAGGGACCTTTGAGTATTAGCACAGCTGTTCATTGATGATAATTTTACTTTGTGAAAGAAAACTATTTAGAGAGCTTTCAAACAACTTAATTCCAGTTATTCTCATACTGGTGTCCAATTTACCATTGAAAAGTATTTGAACTGTTAAGTACATTTTTAAAACCACATATAGTTTCTAAAACATTTTAAAAAGTTTTTTTTATTCTTGATGATCTGCTAAGTACTACCTCATTTGTGCTAAAAAACAGAAACAGGGTCATTGACAGCTCTTGGTGGAGACAATGAAAAATATTGAATATTCATTGGGGGATTAGTTGGCATGGATGCTTATTTACAGCATGTATTGATGGGGATACAACTACTGCAAAATTAGGTTTTCAAATTATAAATTAAAATATACCTTACCAGCAGTTTGTGAATGAAATGTTCTTCATTAATCTGTATTTTCATGAATATTCTCTTTGCAACAATATGCTTTTATTTGCTAATTTATTTTGGCTAAACAGTTCCACAGAATGTAAATGTAAAACCCCACTTAGAAGATATTAAAAAAGGCACTAGCTGGGTAATTACTTATTTCTGAGTGTCATTTCAGGTTAGAACTGATTTACCTTATGTGTTTCACTACTGTAAAGCTCATCTGAAGGCTGAAATAATTGCCTTCAGATGAGCAATTATTCTCAAAAGCTGATTCTTTTGTATTTCCTAAGCTATGAATGGGAAAAATAATTGTGTATAGTGTGCTAGACATTATTTGAGCAATATAGCAACCCAGGATAATTCTGCCTGTAGTCTGATCATCTTGAGACATGTCGTTACACTGTAAATTCAACAAGTGCCTTTGCGCCATGTGGCTGGTGTGGTGTTTTATTCTATAGGTGCAAACAGTTTGTTCTAAAAGAGACATTAGTAAGCCTCAAATGTTTAACATGATAAATAATTATGTGACTTTGTTGCACACAGCTGCATACTTGAATACAGGGATCATCTTGATGAACCAGGGAAAGCTGGATGAAGCCAAGCGGACGTTCTTGACTTGTGCGGATATTCCTGATGAAAACCTGAAAGATCCTCATGCACATAAAAGCTCAGTGACCAGCTGTCTCTACAACCTCGGGAAACTCCTGCATGAGCAAGGACAGCAGGAGGTACGCAGAATGTGCTTGAAAGCTTTTCACAGGTCCACGCTAGGTCTGGGCTTCAAAAGGAGCTCTTGCCTAATGTCAGCAAAAGCTGATCCTTTTGTATTTCCTAAGCTATTAAGATGATGACTATACAGTTAGAATGATCATTATCTTCTCTTCATCCTCCTGACCAAGTGTGACTGAAGCTGAAAAGAGTAATTCTAGGTAGTTCATAATTTGATGCTATTTCATTAGATAGCATTCAATTTGATTATATGTATGAGAGACCCTGTCTGCTACAGTTAAGGGGAGTACCATCTCATTAAACATATGGTCCCATATATGTGAGCTTTCTTTTCCAGACAAGGCTCTTTAAATTTAATTCTTAAGCATACAATGGATTTTATTCAATTTGTTCTATTAAATAGCCTTAGTAATTTTCAGGTTTCTAACTGTAGACCTCTAAAATAAGATCAAACAGTTACAATATAGCCCCAAAGCAATATAGTTTTGACTGTGTCGGCAACAACACTCCAAAGATCCACCCCCTGGTATGAATTCTAGAAGCTGAAAGTTCTGTGTATGTGTTTAAATTGTAACACAGTTTAGACCTGTTCCTTACAAATCCATCAAATGTTTAAGAGCAGGTCTGTATGAAAAAAATAAATAATTTCCAAATAAAATGTAAAGAACCATAGTTGTTGATTATATTCTTAGTGCTTAAGATAACAAATCATAGCAAGCCATGAAAAAGTGCAGATACTGTTACTTGTTTCCTTTACAGTCTGTTTAAAGTAACTGTAGATAACTTAACAAGTATACATACATACAACATACATTGACAGTAATATTTAGAAAAATAAATATCCATTCTCCTTTCACATTTGCAATTGCTTTACATCTAATACAGTATGTAACTAGATATGTGGGTTGTATAGATAAATGCAGTGCCTTACCAAATAATTTATTTTTGAAGTAGCACTTAATATTTGTTATTTATATATATAAAAAAACAAGTATAAAAGATGTAAGTAGATAATGAATTTAAAAGAAAAAAGGAAAAGTTATCAGTGCACACATATCCAGAACCTTTGCTGTGCCAAGCCTTAATGAGTTTTGGAACACAAAATGACCTCCTGTTTGTGTGGAATAATAGTGATTAACAAGATTTTAAAATAAATACACCCGTCTCTTTACAGTCCCACAGTCGTATAATTAAATCAAACATTAAGACATGGAGGGCACCCATCAGAATGTCCCCTCTAAAACTGAACAACCAGGCATGGAGAAAACTGGTTAGAGATAGGTGACTTTCAAAGAGTTAAAGAGTTCAGTAACTGAGATAGGAGAAAATGCCCATGGGTTTACAATATTGCTATTACTCCACAAACGGGAGACTGAAAAAAAAAACCATCTCAGATCCCATATGAGTTTTGCAACAAAGCACCTTAGTCAGTGGTTCTTACTCTTTACTGCAGTCTGCACCCCTTTGGTTATCAAAATATGTTCTTGCACCCCTTTGCAAAAATCATTGAAACAGGTCAGCTCTTTAAACTTAAAATATATCATATCTATAAATGGAAGGGACATATATACATACATAATATATATATATATTAATTGCACAGTAAAATTAAGAACACATTAGAAATTACACACAAAGTTTTTAGTAGCTAGGCTTGTTGGAACAAAGTAGTTGTACAGTACATACGAGCCTGGGCTTAATTTGTATTATTACAAATTATCTGGCTTGCACACCCAGGGCATCTCACACCCCAGGTTAAGAACCTAAATCAATGTTCAGACATTTGGCAAAAGGTTTTATAGTAACACAAAACATAATTGTTAGTTTGTAGTCTAAATGCAAAGGATTACATCTGATGCAGAGCCAACACAGTGCATCACTCAGTCCACATCACCCTTACTGTCAAGGACGTTGGTGGCAGCAGTAAGTCCTGGTTCTCATTAGCAGGGATTGGAAATCACATTGACCTTTTAACATGAGAATGAGCCAAAGCTCAAAGCCAAAGCTATGTTGGAGTGGCTTAAAAATAAGAAAATTAATGTTCTTGAGTGGCCCAGTCAAATCCTGATTTGAATCGTGTTGAGAATGTGTGGAAAGGCTTAAAAACTGCTGTCTGTAAATGATCCCCAAGCAGCTTGACAGAGCATGAGCACATCTCTAGGAAAGACTTGAGGCAGTAATTGTGCTTCCACCCACTATTGAGTTCATGGCTTTGAATACTTATGCAATCATAATTCATTTTTTTTCTCTTTAGTTTTCCTCATATTTATCTTAGCTTCAGACATTTTCAGTCTGAGCATTCAGGTTTTGAATAAACTATTAATTTAAAAAAGTGTATGCATTATTTTGTAATTTCACAAAATGGGACACCATAGGAACAGTCTGAATATTACATATATACACTACATAGAATTCACACCATTTCTGCACTTTTCTCTTATGTTTACACATTGTGTAGTGTGTTTTCTCTTTTATTTCCTATGTTCTTGTTTCTAAATGTAACAATCCTTTTTTAATAGACTGCTTCGGTAAGTCTGATTCTAAAATATTCTCCTTGTTTTTCCCTTTTTAAAAAACATTGGCAAGCTAGTAATGGCATTATGTCATCATCAAAATCATTTCATTAGGAAATTTTGATGTGTGCAGACCTTAGACTTTACATAACACGTGTACTGGATATTTGATTTCATTGGTATTCAAAGTAACAATAAAAAACTGATTACAAAAGATTCCTTTCAAGTTAGTACCTTACCTTGTAAAGGAAATCTGTGTGAAAACAAACAACCAAAAAATAACCAATTTTTAAAGAAAGTAATGTAAAATTAAAACATTCCCTACAGACACTGTATTTTAATAGAATAGGAAAACTTGCTTTGACTTAATGCACTGAAAAACAGTATATGCACTGATGTGCTGCAATATTTTCTGTCAAGTATTGACACTTTAAGCCAGACATAAGCAGAGAAAATATTTGGAGATGGAAGCTGTGAGGATTTTTTTAAAATAACAAATATATACATTATTTATCTCCTGTTTTATTTTTAGGAAGCTCTTTCAGTGTATAAAGAAGCAATACAAAAAATGCCAAGACAGTTTGCACCTCAGAGCCTGTACAACATGATAGGTAAGTATTTCCATTGCTAGATGAGCTATTGCCAGTGATGTTCAAGGTGTTGGAAATACCATTCCATTTTCTGTGGAAAGAAATAACACTAAAGTGACAGAATTGCATTATACTCTTCAGTTTCATGGTAATAGTGAAATGTAACTAACCTTAGAATGTCATAGCATTTATTGCTAAAATGTTCTCTTATTTTTATATCAGATGGCTGATAGCCATTAGACAAAACTCATTAGAAAGATGGAAATCTAAAAATCAAGATAATGCCATGAGTTATTGATTTTTTTTAATTATGCATTCATGCATGCTTAGCATAACTTGCTTCCTGCTGTGATTATATATTTTTCATTGTAATATAGCTATATGAAAATACAGTACTTGACAATTATTCTTATGTAATGAAAAACATACATGTGACCTTGTTTCTATGTGCATTCATGCTTATTCATGATCGTTTAAGCTTAACAGGTTTTGTATCGTTTTTTGTCAAGTGGAGCTAAATAAAGCTCACATAACTCTTCTTTTATGTACTGTATATAGTGTTCATTTAAACCCTAGCATCAGTGCATCTAAAATTTGATAGAAGTATTCTGGAATTTATTATGTAAATGCTCACCACCTGAAAATCTACGAATAGACAGTGAGTGCAAGACAGCTTTCTTCATGACAATTTGCAAACCCTCTGAATTTTGTTGTTTTCAGTTTTTGGTTCATATTCCTAAAGGTAGAGAGCTCAGTAAACAATTAGCACCAAATTGTACTATGAAAAACTATGATGTCTCTGGTAAAGAAAGAGTTTTAGAGTTTGTCGAATTGTCTTTGCAGCATCCAGTCCACCCACTTCTGTCTTCAATGTCCCTAATTTTACACCACTAATAGGTAAAAGTGAGGTGAAACATGAATCTTGGAGCAAGTTCAAGTGAAGGTTAACTGTAAGAAACCTTTTTGTATCACCACACTAATTACATTAAAAACGTTGTTCTAGGTGGATTTTAAATTAAGGAACCATATTATCAAGTTCTTGTAATAATATATTTTGAGGCTCAAAATGAGTGTGTATTTTTTCAGGTGGCAGAGGGCTCGGAGTGGTGAACATAGTGTTGTCTTATGGTTTGTGTTTAAACTCATCATCAGTATTGTATCACTATATCAGTCTTGCACATCAAATGTACTGTACCTGAGGTCAGCCACATCTCAGCTCTGAATACGAGTTCTCTAGAGATGTTTTACCAATCCCTGTTTATCTGAGCTGCCCTGTCTACATTCAGCGCCTGGGTGTGTGTTTTTATTTTTCATAGGAAATAAAATGCCTTCACTGGGAGGTCCTATTATGAGTTACAGTTATTTTATTGGGAGCAAAAGTAAAATAAAAGTTTATTAGGCCAGTATACTAACCTTGAGAAATACAAAATGAATTGGTCAACTTAACATTTGCCAAACACTAATGTACTAGGATTTTGTAGTGCTTTATGAAGTTCAGAAAATGTTTTAAAAAGTAAAGCTCTTTTGCATGGCAAATAAGGGCCTTGACATGAAAGGTGATTTTTTAATTTTTATATCTTGTTATTATTGATGTTAGCCGTGCATGTTTCTAGTATCCATGTTAGTATCTAAGTATTTCCAAAAACGCTGTTTAGCTTCACTCTGTTAACTGTTATTACTTGTATTTCCTCCATGTCCTACAAATGTCCATTTTTGTTAATTCTAACCCTTTATCTTAAACATTCACCATTGTTCTGTTTTTTGTTGAGTTTACTTGGCTGTCTCTGTCAATCAGGAAACCATATACTGGTAGCATGAATGGCTTTGAATCTTTGCTTGGAAAACTAACCTTCTTATTATGTGTGCTTCCAGCTTAATTCAGCATAATATAGTGCAGCTTTGAATAATTCTCTGCCTGCCATACAGCTAAGAGGAATTATTTGCAAAATAATTCCTGTTAAGGCAAAAAATCCAAATATCTCATAATGTTCCGTCATCACAATAATGATGCTTCATTAAATAGTTTCATATTTTTAACGTTTATTTGAGAGTGTGGTATTTCAGTTTCAACCAAACTTTTCAGTTCAAACCGAATATACTGCAGCTACTTTATTAGGTGTTTTTGAGAGGTAATTTAATGAGAAAGACAGATTTTGGGAAGTGTGTAAGTATATCTATCGGTCTTTTTACTTTATTTGAGTATAATAGCTTCAGTTCATTGTTATGCAAATTTTCATTTATTAGAAGTGCCTTAAATATTGCTAGAGGCAAACTATGTTGGCCATTTGCTGTATAGCTCATTTTAATAACTCCAAAGTCAGGTTCCTGCCAGTTTCCTGCTGCTCTTGCAAAATCCTCGTTTGCTACTGAGTATCACATTTCAAAGTCATCCTGGAATATAGCAGTTTTTTTGGAGGAATTCCTTCTTCTGTCACTAAACATGTCAGTAAAACAGTGGAAAGATGTGTGCTTCCCTAACCTCTGACATGACCTGCACTCTACCATAGGAGAGGCCTACATGAGACTGAACAAACTGACGGAAGCTGAGCACTGGTACCGGGAGTCTTTGCGAGCCAAGCCTGATCACATTCCTGCTCATCTCACATATGGGAAACTGCTGGCTCTTACAGTAAGCCCCTTTCTAATCTACTGAAATCAACAGTAACCTGTGTTCTGCCCTTGGTATATCTTCTGCTAGTTTGGGTTTTGAGGTCATTGCATAGTTAAGTCAATACATCCTCAATTAAAAGTACATTTAGATAACATTGAATTTCACAAGGTGCCCTTTAGTCAGAAGATTCTAGAGTGATTGTATCTTTTTCTCCAAGCTGTTCAGTACCTTTTGTATCACTTTCTGTGCTATAATAATAGTCATTTGAACATATTTGATATACCCTGCTTGAGCATGTCTTCTGTCTTAATGAATTTCACAACTGAAATTGCTGATATTTCCCTTCTTTATGGAACATTTCACATTCTTCAGTGTATAGTCTTGCTGTCTTTCATATCTACTGTGTCTCTGTCTTGTGTCATTTCAGCTTTTGGATTAAACAGTGTCTAACCAGTAACTTTAAGGATTATTAAAAAGGAGTAGGGGGATAGAAGATTTGCCAATTAAAAAAATGGCAGATCGCATAGAGAATGTGCATTTTAAAGTTCAAGATCAGAGCAGCTTGTGGAGTACATAGTGTAAATTGATAGATATGTTGCAGACTAGTGACGTGAAGGTATTCATTGGTGCTTAGGTTTGTCAGCACTAATAAATACTGTTTTATTGTTGATGTCAGGAGATGTCTGGAAAAGCTTAATGAAGGACTTGGAAAGTATAATTTCATCATTTCCAAACTTAACTTCCGAGAAAATGTCAAGAGTTTTCCTGTTCATGTCTCCACTGACTGCAACTGTCCTTGTTTTTTGGGGATTTTTTTTCTTTTTGGGATGAAGTTGTAGTCCCATTTTTTTTTTCAAATTCAGTTAAACTACATTTTAAGTAAGATATTTGAATTTAGGTCATTGCTGTATGTTCATGATGAAATGGATGAAAAAGCCATTTGGCTTCTTGAAATGGAATTGTACAGTTAAGAAGTATAGCATTTTTATTACATACAGTATCTGGAGCTCTTGATGTTTTGGTTCAATGCATGTAAGAATAATTTGGCAATCAGTGGAATCCCGTTAAATTTAAAGGCTTTTCTGATGCACAGCCTTACCTTGGATGTTGAAATGGTGAAAGCCTGAGTAATTGATGGAAAATTGACTTGTGTTGCAGACTCCACAGTAATGCCTGACATGCTTTCAGACATTAGTATTTTAGGGAAAGGCTGTTTTTTTCTGCTTCATGTCCTTTAGAGTGGATTTGAGTACAAATGACCTCTGTTTGTTTTGGGTGAGTTGTCTTGGATTGCCCAGAGCTCCTAAATTATTGATTTTTGTTACTTTTCAGAGGTTGTTACAATAGATCTGTTCTTATGCAGAGCAGATGTTGCTACCTCAAGCATAATGCTGGCAGCTCATCTAAAGTAGCCCTGTTTGTAAAGTTTTTAAAGGCAAGAGCCTTGTATAATGCCTTGATTGCCATTTTCATAGAGAATTAATTAAAAGAAAACATTTTTAAAATGTACTAGGATCAAAGGCTATGCTTTCCAATATGTAATGTATGGGACATTTGTTTCAGATTGTTTTATAATGGCTTTAGTGCTCAATTTCTTTGTTAGAGGGTAATAAAGGGTTGTATTACGTCATCATCAGGAAGCATGATGTTTTAAATCATGGCTGTACAAGTCACAGGCTCAGTGTTATTTTTTTTTTTACTTTAAAGGCGCACAGTTTTAATAGGTTTTAACTGCAAAGAGATATTAGTACTATAAACCAGTGGACTACTTAATCATTTCCAGTGACTGTTTAAGTTTTTGATATATGTTATAATTATTTTTGCACAGGTTGGATTAAAAGTGCAGTGTCCTGTTTATGAGATAGCTTTAAAAAACTAGATCATTTTGTTGCTGAAAATAAGAATCTCCCAATTATTTTTTTTATTTTTTCTAGAGAACTTTGGACTTCCAGATTTAATAACTGCTAACAACTCTCAGTAGAATTAAAACTTGCAGGCCACTTTTGAACTGTATATTGTTTCCATATTTTACTAAAATAGGAAAAGGGTCAGATTGAATAATCTGTTGAAAGTGGATGAATCTGTAACTTTAAAGAACAGTGGAAGTAAAACACCAGGGAGAAACTGCTGTTTAAATAGAAATAAATTCTGGAGCATCTCAGCTCTAACGCAGTGAGTTACTGCCTTTCTTCAGCTGCCTGGCTTTTGTTTTCTAATCACATTCTTCATTCCTTTCAGCACATAAAGGGATATTTAAATGTACAGCAATCTGTTAAATCCAGTCAGGATTCATAATGGTGATGCTTCAAAGATAAGCGCAAAGCACAGTTCAGTGGGGCCAGGAAAATGTTCACTAGAAAGTCGGAATATTGATCCGATTGAATAATCCAATTGTATTTTTTTTCATTCTAACCAACAATATAAGGTCCTTTGCAAAAAATAAGCCATATGCCTTGTACAAGTCCTTTATATGAATATATAAATATATATGACATAGGAAATTAAGAAACAGCACATACAGTAACTACTTGTCCATAAGAAAGCAAGAATAAAACTAGAAACAGAAATGTTATTCTATTAGTATTAGGGTAGGGAGGACAAAGGCAGCATTATTTTGACCTGCATTATGTTTTCTGCCCCTCTCCAAGTTACCTGAACGCTAAAACTGAGAAATATGAAATTGTGTGCCAAGACACTGTTAGCTGCAGGCTGTTGGATTCTAGTTTTTTTTTATTTGTTTATGTATGTTTGAGCTGTCTGTTCCACTGCCCATATATTTGCCTCTGTAATAATGAAAGACACCCATATGACAGCACATCTACTTACAGCTGACTTTTGTTACATTTGATGAAAAATAACAAGTGAACTGCAACCCCTGTGGCGTGTCAGCTTTGTGCACTCCAGTACTGGAAGTTCAGATCCTAGTGGGGGGGGGTGATGAGAATGTGTCCTATTTCCGAGAGTGAGGCCATCTCTCTCTAGAAGCAGGAGAGTGTTGCATTTGCACCCTGAGGGTGAAAAATGAACCTGCTGATTTTCTGTTCACAAAATAAACTACACTAGGTTTTATTCACAAGCAGTGAACATGATACAGCTAGCCTAATTTTAGCGGAAGTTTTAGTTCTCGACGTTGAGTATCCCAGGTGTGCAAGACGGAAAGAATCAAGGACACTGTTTTTCATAATGACATTTTCGTACACCATATATACTGTACATTTGACAAAGTTAGGGTAATGCTAAAAGCATTCATATTCAGGTAAAATGATAAAATAGACAAAATAATTACGACAATAAATAATTCTAACAATGATCACTAATTCATTATAATGCTTTAATTAAGTATTGTAAAAATATTGTGCAGCATGGTGGCACAGTCGTTAGCATTGCTGTCTTGCAGCACTGAATCCCTGAGTTCAGTTCTAGACCTGGGATGTGATCTGTGTGGAGTTTGTATGTTCTCCCTGTGTTGCATGAACTTCTCCAGTTTCCTCCCACAGTCCAAAACCATACTGGTAGTCTAATTTGTTTCTGGGAAATTCTGCCCTGTTGTGAGTGTGTGCATGTCTGTGTCTGAAATAATTATTAAATGTACACAAGTTATATATGATACTTTTTGTTTTTTTAATTTTCTATTTTATATCCATCCAGTTTGGTATAGCCAATTGCTGACCTGCTTGGCTTACTATTGCAACCTTCATATTGATCGGGGAAATGGACAACCTATTAACACACTCTCCAGCCCATTCACGGCTCAGAGGTGACAGTCTGAGAGCTTCTCGGGCCTCGTGTGAGAGTTAGCTTCAGCTCTAGGAGTGCTGTATCACTTATTGATGGCACTACTGACTTGTACATGCTTAGCAGGTCCCAGAAGTTTCTGATGTGTTAAAAGTCAATTGGATGCTATCTGACTGAAGCTCTGGTTACACTCAACCAATTATGCTTTAAATCTTGTGGAGTTATAAAGCTGTATTAATCAAATTTTAAGTGGCATTGATTTTACCACCTTTTCAAATAGAAAATACAGGCATAAAAACTATTTAAATAGTATGCTGAAGGAATTGTGCATTTGTGCTCCTCCAAACCTTTTTTTTCTCACAATAAGTGTTAATTTAGTACGATGGTAAAAGTTTTATGAATGTGGCCCACAGTTAGCTAATGAAATAGCCAAATCTTAGCACATTTTCTACTGTTTGTGCTACTCAGGAGTCCTTTGGCTCTTCAGTTTTATTTCTTTAACAATCAAATTAATTTTTAAAAGGGAAAATGCAATGCAGAATAATAAAAAATATACAGTAAATTATATCAAACTGTAGTTAAGAGTGCATTAGGTCATTAAGTATGTTAAGTACTTGTAGTGACGCATTCTGTGACATCACACCCATTGCAGTGTTCCTGGACACACAAAAAGTGTGTGTACAAACACCATAGCTTAATATTGTGATACATTATGTTGATTAGATCAGTGCTTGAACTGATTTGCCACACACTGCCAAGCTGTGTGCCTCGTTTCAGTGCTAAATTAAGTAGATCTCTATGTGATACATATGTACTGTATATAGGAACCTACCACATCCACAATAATATAACAAGACAAACAATACTTATCATTAAGTATTTAAGATGCATTTTAAAGGGTTTTCATAATTAAGGAATATAGTTTGTCTTTTCTGTTGCATTTATGTCTGGGGATCTATTTTTGTTTTTGTCGATGCTAGTGGAAAACAGAATCTGACTAGTCTTGTGCAGCCAGCTTTTGACCTAATTTCCAGATGGCTGGATTAAGTCCGTCCATCTCGATAACTGCTTAATCCAAAACAGGGTCACAGTAACCCGACAGATAATGGTCCCAAGACAGGGTACACCCTGTATAGGATGCCAGTCTGTTCTCACTCACAAATATCTAAGAGGGGAAATTTAGAGAAGCCATTTAACCTAGACAGCATATCTTTAGACTGTAGAAGGCAATGGAGAATCTGAAAAAAAAAAACACAAGGTCGAGGATAGAACATGCAAACTCTAAAATAAAAAAGCTGCCAGAATCAAATGTGTGACATGAGGGCAGCGAGGCAATGCCAGCTGTAACCACTGTGCCACCCAAGATAAGCATAAAACAAAATTACACTTATTAGAAAAAGACCACAAATATTAGACTAAGTCACAAAGACATGTAGAATATGAAATTATTGACATTAAAACATTAATAATAAATTGCTAAAATATCTGCATCAGAAATCTAGTTAAAAAGTATAGGAAAAGAGTTTCTAAAACAAGATGTAGAGCTTAGTGTTTTAGAGGAGAGAAGAAAATAAAAAATAAAATTCCAAGTTCAAATTCCAGATATTTGCACATTTCTAGTGCATTTAGCTCGTGTCTTTATGCAAGGTAGTAGACATTTGAAGTTATTACTAAACTGTGGCAGTGCAAAAGTTACAAACATTAGCATAAAACAATGTAATACTAAAATTTGGAGATGGATCGTAGGATCTCATGCAAACTGTACATTAACAGACTTTAGTTCTTTAGAGATGGTAGTTTTGAGAAATGTCTAATACTGGAAATACCTTGAAAATCACATCGGTCAGCATATTTGTTGAATAGGATCCCAGTGTTATGATCCATGTAAGACAGCAGAGTTCTCTGCCTATATTTCTGTTTTTTCTTGCATAGCTGCATACAGTGCAGCTCTTTAACATAAATCATATGGTTCTAGTTGATTACACAACTTGTCTTCTGACTTTTTTGGATGTTATACTGTTGAGAAATTTATGTTTTTATATGACTAGTCTAATTCCCATGCCCAGTCTGTATGCATTAGAGCTTTTGGAAATTTCAGTTCGGTTTAGAAACATTTTGCATTTTGCTTTTAAAATCATAATTAAAGCTCTCAGTTTCTTTAAACTGAGTGACAATAGGAAAATTATTTTTCTTTTATTTTATATTTTATTTCATATAGGAAAATATACTGAGGGAATATTAGATACTATTAATCGATTGCCAAGTCAGAAGTCATGCAGTTTGTTTGAGATGCTTTTAATTATAGGTAGAAAGGAAGGCACCAAAGATGGAAAACGTTTCAGAAAAAAAAGAAGAAACTGTAAAACCTTTGCTAAGATAAATATTGAAGACAAATTGCAGTCTATGACATTCATGTTCTTTGGTCAGCTGTTTCACATTTTATATCCACTGTTCAGTTTGTCTGCTGTGACCAGGCAAAATAAAATTCCAATTAGCAATCTTTTATTAATTGCCAGGAGGTGAGTGATGACTTTGGTATATTTGCAAATGCAAAATAATTACATTTAATAATATTTCACATTCAGGTGTTTAAGCCTTTCTTTTCAAATGCTTCCTTATTTTCGCCGCTCATGAGGTGAATCCTAAATTCAAGGAGAATTTCAAAACTTAGAATCCCGTTAAAGGACTGGCAAGTCAGATCTTGTTTTTTGGTATTGTAGGAAAGGCTGTGTAGTAAGAGTGGGAGTGTCTCTACAAAACAGCTGCGTGCTCCTACTTCATTGTTCTTTTTTGGGTTTTTCCTCTACAATCAAAACTCGTTAAAATTCCAGTGTTGTGAGAGCATGAAAATGTTGCTTTAAATTGTTAGCACTGACATTAATGGCGTGCACTTTTCTTGGAACATTTTTTGAAAATGAAGGAACATTTGTTGTGAGTACTAGAAAAATAATCCTTTAGCCCTAGTTAAGGGAGGTGTTTTAGTTTTTGCTAAAACCACTTTTTTTTAGGCAGACATTTTCAAAACAAACCAATAAAAAACAACACAAAATAAAGTTTGTTTAGTTTTTTTTCTTAATAATTTATACCAAACTGAAAGCCTGGTTAACCACATATCCTTTACATCTGCTTTACAAATCAGGTAAGCCTAGCTAGATGTACCTAACACACTGCACTGACTGAAGATTTGTGATGTTTTCTTCTGATTGAAGGCTTTTTGAGATTAATTATCAAGACTTACATTTACATCACATACATCACATACTGTACATTTGGTTGTGATGTTTGGATTTTTTCGGGGGTTGTTGTGAATATCCAGAGTAAAAATGTATGTTCTTGCTTCTCTGAAACGTTGGTAAGAAAGCTTAATAAGATATAGCTGTCTTGTTAATGTACTTTTAACAATATATATTGATTTGGTGAAAGTCATTCTTTTAGGGCAGAAGGGCATCTTCTGTTTAAATGTAATGAACGTATTAAAAGCTGAAATAAAGGAAGGTTAAAATTAGCTTTAAAGAAATCTTACCTGGACTTTTTATAGCTCAGTGGCATTTATACCACCCCAGATATGAATCCACATCATGTGGTTACTTTGTTAAGCAACACAGAACAAGCCCAATTCAGGGACACACAGCAAATTACAAAAGTGTTAAAACGTTCTCATGATTGCTGTGCCTCACTCATTCTTCTTTCCTCCTTGTACAAAGTGCTTGATTTTGAGATTAGTTAGATAACCTCCTTAGAATGAATTGGAAATCCTTTCTTTTGTGCATGTGTCTGCTGGGCACAATGGCCAAAACTCCACAAACTGTTACCATTTAGGCCACATGTTACATTTTTAGGATTATGATTTATGCTTTAAAAATACACGAAATCATGAAGGGAGAGGAAATGTGACCTCTTAAATCATGGTACGGCAAAATAAGCCTTAGAGAAAGCTCTTTAAAAGCCTAAAATAATCCTCTTTTCCTTTCCAGGGACAGAAGCTTGAGGCAGAGAGGTACTTTTTGAAGGCAATTCAGCTAGATCCCACAAAAGGAAATTGCTATATGCATTATGGTAAGTAGCTGATATGATTAAAATCAAGCATTTTCTTCAGTTCAGGGTTATAATGTTTTAAAAAACACATATGTTGAATTACTGTATCTTGAACTGTTTATATTTTTTAGGTATTGTGTAAGTTTGTCTTCAATATTTTTTTAATGAAATGTTGCAAACAGTACTGGCTATGGGGTTATGGAGAAATAGAACTAGCCAAATTTAATATGCAGAATATTTAATTCTCATTTGTGAAATGCAATGATGCACCCATATGTGCTCAAATAGATGTTTTGTGTCCCGGCCTAGAATACAGAGGTTATTTTTAAACTTTTAAAGTTTAGGCATTCAAATTGGGAGATATACTGTAGTTGTAGAAATGGATCCCAAATTATTTCTCGTGTTCACCTACATTTTTGTTTAAAAGTTTGTATTTATACACATTAGAAGACTCTTAATTACTTATAATTATTCATTTCAGTATGTGCCATAAACAATTGTCTTACCATGGTATTAGGAGAGGTTGTGACATTGCTGTACAAGATAATAAAGCTATTGTTTTCCCTTTTCACAGTCTTTTTTATATAGGGGTATCTGACATGAATGCACCATATCATTCATACTACATAAGATGTTTGAGCTTTAACATTTAACATGTATTTTCACAAGTGTGTTAAGAAATAATGAAACGATCCCACTGTCAAAACATGCAGAATGAAACAAACCCTTAATAAAGTTTATTTTAAAGAGTAATAGACATGTCTAAAGTTTACAATTAGTGTTTAAGCATGCTTAATTCTTGGTTATCCAATAGGGAAACAAAATAAGTAAGTATCCTGAAAGTCCCAAATTCTGAAAGTCTAGTCCTCATATTTTATATTTTGAAGGATTAACCCTATGTGAGCTATATGAATGCATTACTGATATAAGTAATTCACATTATGGAGATAGATGTCCCTTATCTGAATGTATTTCAGGACTTTAAGGCTGTTTCAGGTGTTGTTCATTTGTTTTCTAGTTTTCTAGAATTTTGATAGAACTGTATGTGAAGTCAGCAACTTTAAAATTATGTGTAATTAATTTTTAATCAACCAGTAGGAATTATACAATTAATTCGTTTTACATGCTACATCATTATTATAATCTATGCACATATTGAATATGTAAAATCGGAAAAAAATGCTAATTACAAACTGCAAAGTAGAGATACTGAAGTAAGGGTTTATGTTGCCTAAAATAGAAGGAGCTGTTTAATTAAGGCAAAATAAACCCTTGGCAAAAAAAAAACTTTTTAAAAAACTGTCATATACTGCTAAGTATTCAAATTGCTTTTAAGGATTTTCAGTCTTCTTGAAGTTTTATAAAATCTTAAATTCACCCTTCATTACAGTCCCAGTTTAATTTAACAAAACAAAATGTCATAGTTTAAATAGAATGTATTTTGTAGTTTAATAGAATGCAGTTTTAACATTGAACTATATAGTTATATATAGGAACAAGTAATAGGTTTATTCCATGCTGAAAAAAAGAAGAAAGAGAACACAACGTTTCGTCCGTGGAGCCTTCTTTAGTTGCTGACTTCACATACAGTACTATGAAAATTCTAGAAAACTGAAGACACCTGAAGAAGGCTCCACGGCTGAAACGTTGTGTTCTCTTTCTTCTTTTTTTTCAGCATGGAATAAACCTATTACTTGTTCCTTTGCAGCCTAGGCATGCTGACGCAGCTACCCACCTGAACTACTATAGTTATATATAGAATAGTTCTATATATAATAGAATAGCTATAAATAATTATTTAGTTATCTGTAAATAGAATTTTATGGTTTTAACAGAACAGAAAATTTTAAAGTTTAAAAGATGGTCTGAAGCAAATTTCTGAGCAAATAAATATTTTCATGATTTATATTTGCTCTTCAAACTACAGCACTCTGTCTCTGAAAGCATTTTGTATTATGTATTATTTCACCTCAGATTTCTTTATCAAATGTCCTTTGAGGTTTTACATTAGAAGAAAAGATAGAACATCTTCAAAGTAACTGTGAATACTCACTATGCAGTACCTTTGTGTATTGTCCAGTACTTTTTACATTATACATACACTTTGACTGCTCATGAAACAGCTCTAACAGAAAAGGTTAGCAGACAAATGGCAGACCAACTGTCAATATTACAGCAATTTGGAATGTTAAAAAAAAAACAACAGCACACAGCATCTTTCTACTCGCGACACTACAGGGGATTCTTTTTAACCACTCTTCAGAGTTAGTGTTAAAAAGTGGTACAGTTTTCATTACATACTGTTATGTATGTCAGTGTTTGCTCACAAAATAGTGATTACAGTATGTAGTTCCATGATATCAGACATGCTGAACATCCTAAAAGTCTGCAGAAGACTAGACAGTTAGTATGAAATTTTCTGTAGTTGATCGGTGCTCATATTCTTAAAAATAAAACATTTCCGTGATCTCTGCAGTCTATTGTGATCATTTAAAGTTTCTTGTTTTAAACCAGTCTCAGGTTTGGAGTTTGGCAGCTACAGAGCTGTCTTTGGATCTGGACACTTCCAGGGCAGGAGTTTAGCACTGTCCCAGAGCTCTGTTTTCAGAAGTTAGTTTATTTTGACAAGCTACCTTATCATACCTTTCTTACATGTCTGCTGGACCCATTCCAGGTTAGTGCAGCAGTGCTGGCTGACCTTTTCCTGTAACCCAATTCATCTGATGAACCATTGGGTTTGTTAAGAAGAAATGTGTGTCTTTAAAGCGACAGGGAAAGTGAAAAGCCCCTAAGAGATTAAGGGTTGAAGACAAGCTTCTTCCAGGAATTGTTCCCATTACCACTTTGCCAGATGCAGTCAGTTCCTAGCTTGTCATAATACGCTTCTCTTTTAATCAAAGAACAAATACAACATCACTGTAAATATCAGAGCATAAACCCAAAAATCCCTGTATTTTAGCATTTAGACAAGTGGAGTCTTCTAAAGACATATATATATAACTTGTATGCAGACATGGACTGCATAAAGCTTTTTTTTTCCAGAGTATATTTATATTATTTACACATTTGTGTGCATAAAATAGTTCATTTAAAATGTGTCATAAAATAGTTAAATTAATTGTCATGAGCACTGCTTCTTTTTGTTATGAAGATAATTTGACATTAGTTTTACATGCATTTGTTTGCTTTCAATATTATTATAAATGTTAATTAAATATGTATAAAATGTTATATTAAAATGTGATATTCTATGATTAATTTTGAATAGTGTTAAGTGGTTCTGTCTTTAAAAGTACTCTCATACCCATTTGGCTCATACCATGTCTTCCTGGATCTCTAAAAATGTTGAAAGATTTTAAGAATGATGATCCTTAGCAGTGTATACATGTATTTTCTAGCAAGTATACCAAAATTACAAATATTTCTATGATTTTACTCACATACTTCTTGTCCTGCACTACCTCAGCTGGTATAAAAATAAATACTTTTTGGAGAGCTTTAGAAAAAAGTAATAACTTGTTCTCCTGAATATAACAGTGTTGACATATTAAAATTTAATATCCCCCCTTTTGTGCAGCCCTGGCATGAGATGCTGTTTTTCTCAATGCTACTGCCAAGGCACACTTCTTCAGTAACTTTTTTTTGTTTTATTGAAATTGAAAAATGAAATGTGAATATAAACAAGACTGTAAACGCGAAAATTTACAAGCTAATGATTATTGATTTATGAAGCAAATTGGTGTAGACCAGTTATCTTCACTCCTGGTTCTGGAGAGCCGTGTAATCTTCTGGTTTTCATTCTATATGAGCTCTTAATAACTTAATTGAATAAATTATTGACTTAATTGGTCAGACTTATAACTATTACCAAGTTTTTAGTCGTGTATGAGTTGCCGGTAAAATCTGTAGTTCTTTGTACCACTGGTTTAGGCTAGAGTACATACAGTATATAACAGGCTACCAGAAGAAGTAAATGTAATATTCCAAACCTAAGAGTGCCCAATTTAAAATAAGTATATATGGCATGCTATCAAGATTATTTAGAATATTATTTGTAATATACTAAATCCATATACAGTATTACATTATTATAAATAATACTAAACATGATTAGATTTATTCCAGAATTTCTCAGTATTGATCTAAATTTTTTAGGATGCATTTAATCTTTGTTATGAGCAAGAAAAAGTAAGATGTAAATAAAGTAGATGTTTTAAGTCCTGCTCAAGGATTGAAGTGAGACTGAACACAATATTCTTGAGCTTGCTTTCTTTGTTTAGCTCTAGTTTGTGTCAACCATCATTTGCATTTAAGACATGTGCCTCCCATAACACATGTTTTAAAGTAGAGCGAGGTACAGAGAATGTGCACAATAACATATCATTCCCACCCTCACTCAGCATCTGGACAGTGAAGAGCATGCTCTCAGTGGGTGGAAGGGATGCTTTAACTTTCCTTTACAAGATGTTCCAAGAGATATTTGTAGAGAAACTTTCTTGCCTGCTTTCAGATCATTCACAGTTCTTTTTTCTAATGTGAAAAAATTCCCAATGTGTGAACAAAAACTTAAAAGTAATAGATTTTTTTTATTGAAAAGTAATACATATGTATTGTTTTTTCTTTATTTCATGTAAGGTAATTAAATAGTCAATGTTTTTTTATTAATATAAAATAATTTTATTTTTTGTTCTTGCTTTTTGTGATTAAAATTCTATATGGGTTATTGATATTTATTTTTGTACCTTAACATTTCAGTCATGTAGATGTACAACATTTCTTTAGCTCCTTCATAATGGAAGGAATTTCAGCATCTCATGTGCCACAAATGCTATTATTTCTAACCGATTTTTTAGTGAAGTGTCTCTATAATCTCTTTGAAAACTATATTACAAGATCTTTTTGATTTTGTCACAAAGTGATTAGGTTGTTCTTGAAAGCAGTTGAAAGGGAAATTAGGATTGCTTTATTGTATTATACTGCTACCTAATAGTAGACAAATAGTACAGTATGTGTCTATTAGTGGTCAAAGAACTGTATTTGTGACAAATTGACTGTTTTTGCTCTTTTGTTGTGCATTTTAAAACTTTGAATAAAAATAATACTTCTATCATCAAGGTCATTCTTTCTTTGATATTAATAGAAAGATGCATCTGAGTTGTATTCCAAATTCCTTTTTTTCAGAAAGAATATCTAAATTAGCTTCAGAGCTTTACAGGGTGAGAACTGAAACTTAAATGTTAATCACAATTTTTATGTTTTATTCTGTGACATCACAACAATATTTTAACAGCCTTTTACCACAGTATGTTTCGAAGTGGTTTACTGGTTTCACCTCAGGGTTCTAAGGCTAAATACTGTACAGTAGAAAAGGGAACCAGATCTAGCAGGGAGTGTATTTAAGTCTTACTTTCTGCTGTGGGACTTTGGCATTCATACACTTGTTTGAGGTTAGCTGTATTGGGAAGGTGTGAGGTTGTACAGTTAAAATGTGTGCAATAGTAAAGATCAGAAAACACCAGACATGGAAAAATATGATTATCATAATCCTTCAGCTCAGAAAAAAACTGCCTGATGGCCAATATTAAAGGGCACTTTGTTTCTTATGTTTCAGCAAATTGTGTTGTGGTTCCCAGCTTTAAAGCAGGTCATTGACTCCCCCAGCCAAAGGAAATATTTCCAGCTCATAACTGTCTCTGTACACTACCGTCTGAGCTCTAAAACATCTCTTTTTTTATTTCTTGTGACCCACAGGTCAGTTTTTGTTGGAAGAATCCCGCTTGCTTGAAGCAGCTGAAATGGCAGAGAAGGCTGCACAGCTTGACAGCACCGAGTTTGATGTGGTCTTTAACGCAGCCCATATGCTCAGGTTGGTTTGTAGTATTACTACAGCATTCCTTTCTAGAAGGAAAAGAACATGGTAAGGTAGTGAGTTTACTATAGGCCTTCACTCACCGTTTCTAAACAGTTAACAGTGTAATTTTATCAACAGCACACACTTCAATTTATGTCTGATTAGAATAAATTTTCCTGTTTTAATGGAGCAAGCTTGTGAATGAGTTTTCACACACTGCTGTTACTGCCTTATTCATAAAAAGTTAGTTTCTGACATAAGAAGTAAGTTCACTTCTGAGTCAGCACTGCTTGTATTGCCTCAAGGTGTTATATTGTGGCAGCAGCTTGGGTGGAAATGTGTACATTGCACAATGCCAACTGATGTCACACTGCCTAATGGAATTTTGAACACTTATGGTAATCACAAAAGAGCTGTATTCTGCTGAATTGAATTTCAACAGTGTTTTGACCTTGAAATATGTTTGATAATTGACTCATTTTTAGAAATAGATAAAAAACTTTATTATCAAAGCCTAGAAAGAAGCATCAGAATGCAATTTTTATCATTCATGTTTCCTTTTATTCCTTATTAATTCTAGAGTTCTCTTTTTTTTCCTAGATTGGAAGATTGCACTGTGTTATTCTCGAATTGCATATCTTTAATATTGTAGTAACTTGTACACAATATTTCCCTTTTGAAAAAACAAGTAAAATGGGAACATTTTTTAGCTATTCCAACTCACTAGATAAGCTTTTCTCCACTGCAGTCCCTGGTGGCCCAGATTGATATTATATAATATGATATTATATAAAGAGGTATATAAAGGGTAAAAACATACATGTGTCTACTTTAATCTCAGCACTGTCTAATAAAGGGTCTTTAAGAGATGCCAGCCAAACTTTTAACATATCAAAAAAGAGAGGTGGTTAAAACAAAAACCTGGTTTTCTTGAGAAAGTGTATAATGATCTTATTAAAAAATACTTGTGGGTGATTGGTTTAACAACTCAACAACATAAGTAAAACAAAACTAGTGTTTGTAGAAATACATAATTGATATTTGTGTACAGAATTTCAAACTCAAGTGGAATTCCTATCAGTACCAGAAAAAAACAACAACATTTCCATCTGGTCACCATAGTATTCAGCTTCTAAGACCCTTTAAATCTAAACACGAAACACGTTTCCAAAAAATGTGCAGTACTTCTGTGTTTCATACTTTTGTCACAGGTGAGGGATTTTATTTTAAGTTAGATGAGCTAGTGTTTTTTATCCGGAACTGAGTAATGCTGGATTTTTTTTCTTCCAGTCAGTGCCACTGTACAGTCCAGCTGTCAAATTCCAGTCCCTTAGACTTTCTTGACCTGTACATCTTGTTCAAGTCTGGTAAACACACCGGATCACTTTTCTCTCTGATCTGTTTCTAATCTGAAACAAAAAATGAAAGAGCCAACAATATAGCACAAGTTTTTTAAGCCTTTTTAAGCAAGTATCCTTGCCATGCATGTCCTTGTACTCTCTGTCTGCCAAGTTAGGCTGTGGTGCACCCATCTAAGTATCCCACGGTGAAAAATGAAAGTAAAACACAATGATAAAACCCACATTTAGAGAAAAAGGTGGTACCTGTAAAATGTCCCAAAAGCAGAAGCAAATTATTTCATTACTTCAAGTTTTGGGAAGGTAATCTAATTCTGTCTGTGGGTTTTTTTTTATTTAAAAAAAATTAGTCATTCAATATTAATGTAACTAATGCCTTAATTTGGCCTGCAGTGCCAAAGAGATATGGAAGACTTTAACATTCCACTCTCCTTTGATAAAAATTTAAGGAGTTTTATCCCAAAATGACCCTAAGGCTGTCTGTTACAATCTCAGAAGGAAATTCTGTCCGCTGTGTTGGCATGAACACCCATTAGTTTATAGCTAATGTTTTTTATGTGTTTGTCTTGGAAGAAGATGATGAAAATCTCTCCAGTATGGCTGTGAGTGAACTAAAGTAGAGCAGCAGGGGGGGTTCAGATGTTAGAACTTTTATTGATCTCAAGGGCTGCCCTTTTGACAAGTTTTCTTCCTCACTATCAATTTTCAAATCTACTTAAAGCAATCAGCAAGTTATTCACAGCCTCATACGTGACATACATGAAGGTTTGTGTGTAAATCAGCCATATATTTTAATTTTACAGCACAGGAAAAAAACTATTTGTCAATACCTTAAAAATGAAATAACCCTCTTACTTATTACAGTGTCTTAAGCCTTCCGACTAAAGGTAGCTCTTTATAATTTGTTCTGTCATTTTGCAGTTGTAAAATTTGTAAGATGTGCTTTTTTGACACATGGAACAAGTAATAGGTTTATCCTATGCTGAAAAGAGAAGAAATAAAAAACAGCGTTTCGACTGTGGGGCTTTCTTCGGGTGTGAGAAAGACATGGACAGACAGCCCTGACGCATAAATGCTGACGCAGCTACCCACCTGAACTTCTTTGTCACATTACTACTATAAGTTAGTGTGGTGACAATTCTCTTATTTCATTTTTTGTGTTTCATAATATTAATTGTATGGAACAGAAAAATGATAAAATTACCATGTATTACACATCCCTACATAGGGGTTCCATATAACATGTTGATGAGTGCTTTCCACAGCTTATGGAAAATTGTAACTTTTTTTTTAATCGGTAGACATTCTGAGTAGACCTGTAAGCTTTATTTTTGGACAATTTTAATCCTGTCCTTACTAGCAATAAAAACAGAGGCATTAATAAAATTACTGACATCATTTATTTGATTCCTTAGATTATTTAGATATGCGATTTAGAATTCTAGAAATGAATATAACTATTGATGTATATGCTCTGCTTTTTGTGTTGCCATGCAGGAAATGGTCTGTACTGACTCATACTAAATTGCTTTACAACAAGAAGGATTAAAATTTCTGAGAAAATTAATACACTATTTAAAACATTAAGAAACAAAAAGACAAATCCAAATGATTTACATTTCATTTGCATTTTATTTGAATGTTGTGGAGAAAAATAGGAGAAGGAAAGTGGAACTCAAATATAGTTTGAAATAAAGTGTTAATCTTTGAGATTTGTTTCATGAAAGTGCATAATAAAGTGCTAGAAATAAACAACGTGATCATTTAGGATTAACTATCAAAGATTCTTTAAAAAGCGAAATTTTACATATTTTTTCTTAAACTAGTTAAAGCTTAGTGTCCTCCAAGACGTTTTAAACGACAGCTGTGTGGGGTACATTATATGTTAGTTAGAGATCACCAACAAAACTCAAGATATGGGTATTAAAAGCTGCATCTGCTTAAAGCAGTTGAATAAATCCATAGCAAATCATTAAGCATTTGCAAAGAGGTTTGTCACACTTTTTGAATAAGAAATCCACTGTACTAATCTTAGAGAGGAAATGTCCTGCAGCTTGCAAACCATGATACAAATCACATTCAGAGCAAGTAAAGATTACAATAAAATAAAAAGATTGAAAGAGTCATGCAATGGCACTGAAGAAGGAAGCATAAGAAGGAACTGTAGATCTTATGTATTATGTAGATCTGTATGTATGACATTTAATGTATCTATTATCATAATATAGATTATTCTTCCCACAGTGAAATACGGGACTATATTTTGTCAGTTATCTGTACTTATCAGGAGGGCTTACAGAATGTTTAGTTATGATTGTTATTAGTGGTGAAAATAGTCAAAGGTGAAATCTTAAAGGTGAAGGCTGGAATGGTGTTCCATGTCGACACAGCAGCTGCAGCTCATGCTAAATACATTAAAATGATTGCACTAAATATTTCTGACAGTATTGGAATCACTTTTCTAATAAAAGTCAAAATTCTGTCACACACTGCGCAGCTCCTTGCTATCATATTTGAAATAGAAACAAAAAAAGAAGTAAGAAAGGCTGGTTGCTTTACTGATTTATGCTGGTGCCATCACTCAGCCTGGAAGGGCTTTTATTCAGATCTCTTTCTAATTTATCTCTACTCCCTTTTCCAGGAGTAGAAAATGGAAAAATGGAAATTCTGACCAAGCTCTGCAGCAATTTTTTATTTTTTTATTTTTTTCCTGTAACGCAAAGTCTTATAAAGGCCACAGTGTTACTCGGTACTGAGCACCTTTTTCTTGCAAGCCAGCACAGGGTTCTCTGTTGGTTGGTTTCTCTGTACAACCAAATCCACTGCTAAATAAAGAGGCTGGTTAGCTTTGAAAACAAGGGGAGTGTGGGGTGATGTCTCATGCTTTAAACAGCAGTGGATTATATTGCCGATTGAATAAACTTATATTGCCATGATTTAAATGTTATGTATTTTTCTATTAATAATATTAATAATAAATAATAATAAATTAATAAGATGTTGTGTAGGGTTACTTTACTAGAATATTCTGTACATTTATGTATTTACTTTCAAATTTACAGTACTTATATTATAAGATTTCTATTTTTGAGAGTACTGCATATACCACAAGTAAGAGTTTGTGAAGTGAGGCTATTGTAACTAATACCAAAGTAAAAAAATAAACAAAACCCTAAATCTTTGGAAATGCATAATACAAAAGAACTTAAATGATTACTTTTTTTAATGAAAATGTTATACCTTAGTATGTGTGTGGTATAGATAAGACGTTATTGATCCCGAAGGGAAATTGATGTATACATTATGTATTGGAAGAAAAGTAAAGAAAATCTGACATACTATGGAACTTCTCTTAATATTCATTATTGCTAATAACTATTATCATTAAAATGTTATATTACAGTGTTGCCCAGGCGAGAAAGCCCTTGCTCCTGCTGTAATAATAAAAATAATTATTGTGCATACAGTATATGAAAACATATAAATCTCTATGTATATTTCTTGCATGTTAAACTGGTGTATTATTTTACTTTATAGCAAGTAAAAAGAGTATGGTAAAATCAAAATATTTTTCATGTTAGACATATGGATTATATAAACAAGTTAGAAAGGTTACAAAAATGAGGAGGCCATATAAATAATCATTTTTTGCATGTA